ATTTGTGGGAATAAAGCTTTGCGCAGCGGTGGTGTCGTACCCAATGAAGTTTGAAGAGTGTGTGTACGTTACGGAATCACCATATGATCACGAGAGACGCGGTATACATTGGAGGACTTCGAAAATTTTGAACAGGTGTTTTTATGTAACTTGCACCTAAGTTTAAGAACTCCGGCATTTCATCTCCATCGAAGTGGGGCCACTGCGGCCGGAATTCGATTACCGACCGTTCGAGCGCCCAAACCATTACAAAGCCACACAGGTCCTTTCTTTCTACGATCTTTTCCTCGGTTTAGGTACGCCTTCTATGCTGGTGTGATGACCCTTGTAAGAATGTGTGCAGTTCAAAATTTTTTCATTGTTCCTGTACTTCAAGTTTTCTTTTCGTCCTGTCTCGAATCATTACGCAATTGATGTTGTTTTTTAATCATTTACGACCACTGCGAAGCAACTAGTGACAGTACTCAGTGAATTCTGCCATAGAGCGTATAATTTTAATTGCTTCTGGCAACGCTGCATTAATGCACAAAAATAAATTATTTCTACACTGGATGATAATAGGGGAAACGGCAGGCGTGTACACACGCACACACACACACCGCCAGTATTTAAACTCTTTCAGCACGCATTATTATTTAAGTAAATAATTTATTTATTAATACTGTGAGCTATCAGGGATCATACGCAAGTGCTTATGCAAACTGTACTCGCGAAGCGTCCATATAAAGAAGATGCATAAAGACAAGACGGGGCATCGCTGTGTAGAATGAACACGCTATGTCGCAAAAAAACAAGTCAAGTTGTGCGATGAGAAGATCGTGGAGAAATAGTTAATGCAATAAGAAAGGCGTCCGCCTCAGTGGTACCGTGGGCACGGTGCTCGGTTGCTAACGCGAGGCTCACGCTTTCGATCTAGGCCACGGTGGTCTCATTTTGAATAACGTAAAACACCAGAAGACACCCATGTACTGTGTCAGTGCAGGCAAAAAAAAACTGGGTGCAAAATTGCCGCAGTCCTGCAATTAAGCGTCATTTTATAACGTAAAAGCCTCAGATAATAATTTAAACTAACAAAAAAAGCATATAAACGACACCACCAATATAGATTTAGAATCCCCTCTGTGGTAACCGTCGTAGGGATTTGTTTTCAACATGAAAGAGTCAGCGTCTGCCTCTAGCGCATAAATCATGCACAAGCCGTCAGCTTACATGAAATATGCGCTCCCTGCATGCATTCAGGCAAAATTAACTCTAAAAGATGTCCAAGCTTCAATAAGAAGAAAAGCTCGCTAGCTTGCACATGTTTCCGGGCGTATCAGGGCACCACACGAGCGTTGCGTAGCGGGCTTCGCATACGGTCGAGTTGTGGTGGGGAGGCGCAATGGCGGCGGTCGTAGCAGACGACGCGGCTGTCCTCACCCTCATCAGAGCGCGCGGGCATCAAGCGCGCGGGCATCAAGGCACCCTAAGCAAGATCGCACTGCAGCGCCACCCCGCCGTAGTGGTCTAGTGGCTAAGGTACTCGGCTGCTTACCCGCAGGTCGCGAAATCGAATCCCGGCTGCGGCGGCTGCATTTCCGGCGGAAATGTTGTAGGCCCGTGTGATTTGGGTGCACGTTAAAGAACCCCAGGAGGTGTAAATTTCCGGAGCCCTTTACTACGGCGTCTCTCATAATCAAATGGTGGTTTCGGGACGTTAAAACCCACATATCAATTAATCACTGCAGCGCCACCAGTTCTCGTGAACGCCACGCGGCCCGCCTCTCTGGCGGAGCTTTCCAACTGAGTATATTTTAGTAACGTTGGGCGCTGTTTTTCCTGCTCACTGTGCGTCTTTGTTACCAAGCCAAGGCCGGGCTCGCCGTGTGTGTAGGGAACAGAGCGGCACGACACTCCTCCCCGATGCAGTCGTGCGCGAACGACGGCTTCCGCTGCGCCGTAACTTGCGGGTTCTGCACGCGTGGTCTGCGTTCACCGTTGCTCCTTCATGTTTACCCCGGTAGCTTGCTGCAAATGAGACGCGGTTGTGACGCCTGCAGGCGTCGCATTCAAGTTGATAAAACTCACGACGCGTACGTGCAAGACCAGCGCACGAAGTGTTCTCCGCGTCAAGTACAACGAAAAAAAAATCTAATGAAATGTAGCTATACAGTCTAACTCCCTTTTTTTTCGCGTGATCGTTTTCATTTGACACTCGCACCTGCTGTGCCCGGTATGGGACTTGCCCAATCCCTGAGGCGCGTGCTCGCCTGAAGAGTTTTGCGCGACGGAGCAGAAGTTACCGATAGCTTAAACAGCTTCACTGTAGAAAGGAGCGCGTGTCAGTTCGCAACGACGATAACCTTTTCGACGGAGCACAAGCTACTGACAGCTTAACCGACTTCGCTGTGAAAAAAACAAAATTTTGGTCGTGAATAGCCTATAAATATTTATTTTACTTCATGTGCAACCTTTCGACCTTTCAGCCACACGAGAACCAAATATTTCGGCGTTTCAGGCGACATTCCATTCTCTCTCTCGTTTTTGGTTCTGTTATATGAAAGAAGAGATGGAACACTGAAATGGAGATCGACCAAATTTCGTGGGTAGTTAGCTATAACGTATATGACTCGCTATATCAGTGTTCCTAATAACGAGGTTCAAATGTATTATATAAACGTGGTTGTGCACAAAACCACCGCTCGCTAGAAAACAAACTCGAATGATACTGCATGTTTATTGAAAGTTTTAAGGTGCATATGTCGAAATCAGTGGTTGTGCACGGGGGTGGTAAAGATTCATTGATTGATTGATTGATTTGTGGGGTTTAACGTCCCAAAACCACCATTTGATTATGAGAGACGCCGTAGTGGAGGGCTCCGGAAATTTCGACCACCTGGGGTTCTTTAACGTGCACCCAAATCTAAGCACACGGGACATTCATTAAAGTGTTATTTACAAATAGGTTGCTCGCCAAACCAGCCTCTAATGTGTCAGCTTCCTTTGAATAATAGGTGGAGTCCTTAATAAGAGACCCCACTGGTCGGCGGACTATGGCCTGTTGGGCCGAAAGGTCCTGGCAGCTGAGCAGGGTCGCCTCTCAAGCCTTCTCGGATTGGGTCAGGTTAACGAAGGACCGAACTCACATGCCCATACCTTGCTGTAAGCCACCTCCTCAAAGTATACTGGTAGATGCCACATTCAAGAGGATATGGTTGTTTGTGAATTTCCCGGGTGTCAATTCGTCAATTGCAATAACTACCATAATATAAGTGACATAAATTGATTGATTAATATGTGGTGTTTAATGTCCCAAAACCACCATTGATTACGAGAGACGCCGTAGTGGAGGGCTCCAGAAATTTATACCAGCTGGAGTTCTTCAACGTGCACCCAAATCTGAGAACATAAGCCTACAGCATTTTCGCCTCCATCGAAAATGCAGCCGCCGCTGCCGGGATTCGATCCCGCGACTTGCGGGTCAGCAGCCGAGTACCTTAGCCACTAGACCACTGCGGCGGGGCGATGTGAGCTAAATAATTACCGAGTCCTAGTATCTACTAATGAGCTCGGCGTTAGCACTTACGGACGTCCGCCGTACCTTTGTCACGCAGGTCCCGTTAATTAGGGAGGCGATCGCCGGGCTAATTCCAAAGGCCGAAGTATCGGCCCCCCGAATCGCACCACGATAGCGTGGACAATTTAGAAGTGGTCTTTTTTGGCGCGCCAGCGGACTCCGGCTGTGGCCCAAAGAACAAGTCAGAGCCAAGAGTTGATAAACAAAACAAAATTATATTCTCAATAATGGCAGATCAAAACAATACACAAGTATGCACACTCCACAATAGTTTCATACAATATGTCACCAATCAAACAACGTACTATACAGTACAATCAGCCACACTCGAAACAACGGACATAGACAACAATACGCACTACAATGCAGTCGCATGCATTGAACAACCAAGACACTTAAAGACTAAAGAGATAGAAAACCTATTCAGTCCAATGTTCTTGGAACAAAAATCTAGATGATACTCTTCCGAGAATCACTCACTCAAGGTCCAGCGTTGTTGTCGTTCCGCGGCCCCCGAAGTTTCTCTTCCAGGAAACCTCACATCTTCAATAGGCCACTCTCCAAACTTCAAACTTCTTCGCCGGAAACACGTCGGCTTCACACACGCAGCTGTTGCCACGCGTCTTCGCTCGATAGCGGTAAACACACACTCTTGCCTGTAGCTCGAGTCGTCACCCCTCAGGTGGAAATCATCTTCTTCTCCTGCTTTGTCTCCACGGACAAAACCTTCGCCGACTACACGGCGGAATCCCTACGCGCTCTGGCGCTAACTTCCGTCTTCTGATCTTTCATCTCGACAGCTCGATTAAATACCTTCCGCGCGAGATTCCAGAAAGTTGCCGTCATTTCGTCGGGGCAATACGCAGCGAAGGCTGGGGAGAGGGCGAGACGGTTCGAATGCCGTCCGCAACGGATGACTGAACCCGGCATCACCACGCCCCTTTCCATCTAGAACATTCGAGTGCTTGCTCGGCCGATGTTGTGGGGTGAGGAGGTTCATGGGCGAACCTACGCTTCCCAGAGGGGAAGGTCGCGCGCCCGGGGAGCCCTTGGATGCTTGTTTTCTCTTTTTTTTTTCGTTGACCTCGCGGCGTCTCTCCCGCGTTTCGTCGCGAGAATTTGGCGGCGCGCCCTTTTTGAGCGCTCGTTCTGTGACAACCTTACAATATTTTTTTTATTTTTCTTCGACACCCCTTGTGTTTAAGAATTTTCTAAAGGGTCGTCTGTGTTAACTTCCGGAGTGCATGTTTTGCGTTTACAGATTTCTGTAGTTTTTCAGGTTCCTCAGAAACAGGGTGTGCTCTAGTTGTAATTTCTTGTTAAGAAACGCACGCCCACAATTAGAAACATATTACGGGGTGTGGTTGTCGTGCCTTAACAACAACAACAAAAACTAGAGGAGGGGATGATTTTCTTGGTAAATTTGTTGGACTCCCTTTTGCAG